TTAACTGCTCAGCAACATTATGGATATAAGTTCATCACATTATCTAAGGAAAGGTGGTTTGCAGTTGGTGAGGGACATATGGTGCCCAACGAGCGTACATCTGTCCTTGTGATGTTGTGGTGAGTTATACCTTTTTCATGTTGTCGGTTTATGTCCATTTTATTCCACTTATTGTGTTGGGTAGTAGTTTTACAAACGAGATTTCTTGTCTGTTTGAGGATACGTATCTTAACCGTTAATGTTTTATCTAGAATTATAAATATAGGCAAAAAACAACAGGTGTAGTATTTAAGCTTATACATTAAATGGACCTATAATTTCGGAGGCTCTCAGATAGGAACTAGAACTACTATCGTTTGCAAACTCTTGTAGTTTGTCATTAAGCACCTTTTTGAAGGAGGCCAGTGTACTTGCTTGACGCATTTCTATTGGCAGTTTATTCCATATCTGTGCATACCTAATCAAGTAAAACTTTTGCCTGGTGGCTGTTTTACATTGTTCGATAGCTACTGTACCCTTAGTGTGTCTTAGTTTGTACCCATTGTCATCTGAAAGTCGAGTGCCATTAGTAGAGGTAAAAACTAAGTGGTTTAGAAGCTTATAGTAAAGTGTTAAGTTTAGTCTCAGACGTCTTAGCCATAGTGTTTCTAGTCCTAGGGTATCACATCTAGTGGAGTAGTTCGTACCATTTTCAATTCCGAGTAATTTTAACGTGAAGTACCTCTGCACTCCCTCGACTTTCAATTTGTCCTCTATGCGTATGCTACTATACATGAATGAACAGTAATCAAATAAAGGACGCACACAAACCTTGTACAACAGAATTCTAGACTCATTTCTGTGGAAGTTCCTGAGTAGAAAGCCGATAAGTCTGCGTGACTTTGACACTTGTTTGGAGATATGTTCAGAAAGTGATAAGTTATGTGAATATTTCAGCCCTAGGTCCAGTACAGATTCCAGTCGTTGAAGTGCATGGCCTTGAATTGTCAGGTCAAGTTCTAAATTGTTGCAACCTATGCAGAGCCAGCCACATTTTTCGACATTAAATTGGAGTTGCCAGGTGTCACACCATCTATCCAGTTTTTCTAATTCTTGCTGTATGGCGTTTACTGTTATTCCAAGATCTGTGTTCTTGCATTTATACGTCACTTTTAAGTCATCTGCATATAGTATTGGTTTACCTACACTAAAGCATTCACAGATACTGTTTATATATATTATGAATAAGAGTGGGCCTAATACACTTCCCTGGATTACACCACTACTTACTGGTTTAGGCCTTGAGATTATCGAGCCAACTTTCGTTGTCTGACTTCGGCCACAGAGAAATGATTTTATCCAGCTCAGGAGAGGATCACATATCCCTAGTGAGCATAACCTGCTGACTAGCAGATTATGGGGAACTCTGTCGAAGGCTTTTGTTATATCGAAATATAGCACAATTACTAGTTCTCTGTTGTCCCTACTTCGTGTAACTTCGTTGAAAAAGTCTATATGACAGGTCACACATGATCTCTTTTTGAGGAATCCGTGTTGTGATGGATTGATAAGTTCATGTTCTAGTAAGTTGTCTGACACTTGGTCTTTAACCACTTTCTCCATTATTCGTGATATTGCCGGTGTTATATTGATAGGTCTATAGTTGCATACACTGGTTTTGGCCCCTGCTTTGTGCTTAGGTAATATGTATGTGGTTTTCCACACTTCAGGATAAGTTCCAGTTTCCAACGAGAGAGTAAATATTCTAAGTAACAAGACTACCATTTCCGTGCTACCATTTTTGTACATGACAGATGCTATGTCATCTGTTCCAGTACTACCATTAGACTTCAAAGTCTTAATCGCTGAGTCTATATTTTGTATATTATACACAGACACAGTCATAAATTCATAACGTAAGTGAGCCAACACTTCACAAAGAGATACCAGTCACTTAAGTCACTTCCACTGAGTAGTGGCTGAAGCTGACATGGGACTAAGATGCACAGAGTTTGACGACTGAATCCTAAATTGGATGCATACACTCATCCCTCCTACGACTGGCGACGAGTTGATATGGATCTGCAAATAAGTCTCCTGTCCAAATAAAAAACCTGACGGACACATAGAAGCTGCAACTGTACTAAAAAAACCCATGTCTTTGACTCATTTGATTCCCCTTATACTTACAATTTTATCTCATTTGACTTTCAGTCTCATAATTATCACGTCTGGTCTGGTTATCTTACCTATCTTGAAGTTAGTCCATTTAATTTCTTTTTGGTTTGTAAATCTTGCTGTTATTCTCTCATCATTCTCTTGATACCGTGTCTTCTGGGAGTTTATTTGGCATTAATGCATAGTCTTTTGACGAAACGGCACTTGCGAGTCCCAGTGATGTCACTTCCCTGTTACAAACCATATATTCACAAAAACTGTCATTCCTCCTGTTCGTGTATTTAGAGGGTCTTCTTCAGTTTTGCAAAGATAATCATCTGTTCCTAGTCAGAACTAACTTCAGGTACAAAGAAAGACATTGTTTAACTTGGCGACCTCCACCACCAAATTAACGCTGGATTCAGATAGACCACTTAGCCATTGGGGATCGTTGGCGAGGGTCAGTAGAAGACTGCCGCTCCTTCTAGACTCCAATCATGATCTGGTTCACGCACGTTTATGCTTACGACTAAATGGACATAAGAAATTGATGGCAGCGAAACAGTTACGTCCCCAACTAGATCGAAACACTGAGTCCTTATTTAAGGAAGAAGTAGCGAAACGAGTTTCTGAGGTCGACAGCAGGACTTCCCCCGAGGTAGCCCGGCACAACATTCAGTTAGCTATAGACACACTGCAAAAGCTATTACTCGAACGTGAAATAATAAGAAGTCTTCGTAATGACCGTGAACAGTGGTGGGCGACAAGAGCGAAAGAGATGGAAAAGGCATCGGCGATTGGCAACACCAGACAACTATTCAGGCTCATCAGGGAAACAGGTGGCAAAAGGTATATGATAAGCGAAACAATCTCAGAGAAAAATGCCACCATAATTAGCTCCCAGGATAGACGACTGGGACGCTGGAAAGAACACTATGAGGAACAGTTTAATTGGTCTACAGCCACACTTATCCTGCTGAACATCCAACACCTCCCTGAATGGGATATAGACACAGGTCCTCCGTCACTAACTGAGGTTACTAAGGCTGTCACTAGTCTGAAATGAGGCAAAGCAGCAGGTCCCGATGGAATGATTTCAGAGGTATTTAAGTACGCTGGAGACAGTTTACTGTCTGCGTTAACTAAGGTACTAAGCAGCGTCTGGTAATCAGAGGAAGTCCCGTCGGATTGGTGTAAGTTATTAGTTATCCCCATATATAAGAAGGGAGACAAGTCTTTCTGTGATAATCACAGGGGGATTAGTTTAACTAATATGGTATCTAAAGTTCTAGGCTCAAAAACAAAGCGTAAACTGAGCGGTCCAGACAGGCTTTAGACCAGGAAGAGGGTGTATTGACCATATCTTCACCCTGCGACAGATTGTGGAACATAGGCATACTTACCGGCGTCCAACAATCGTCAAATTTGTTGACCTAAAGGCGGCATTCGATTCTGTCGATCGAGAGGTACTATGGCGATGCTTAGCTGTGAAGGGAATGCTGAGGAAATACATTGCACTGATCAAGGCAGTCTACTCATACTCATGCAGCCAGGTGAGGGCTTACGGCGAGTTGTCATCTGAAGTGGTGAAACCAATGGTGTCCGTCAGGGATGCCCACTATCCCCATTTCTATTTAGTTTCATCACAGACATACTAATGGACTTAACCTTAACTGACTTCAGCAACTCAGGGATTGACTTGTTACCGGGGAATATATTTAGTCCCCCCCCCTAGGTGAAGACGCTGACAAGATGCAGTCTACTGAACACTTTGAGCTGCAATCTACGAATGTGTGGCATGCGATTCGCTCCCGCCAAATCTAAGATGATGCTGCAGGACTGGTCTACACTGACTCCTAGATTAGAAACAGGGAGCAAAATGGTAGAGCGCGTTGACCACTTCACTTGTTTGGGAAGTTGCATCAGCCCCAACGGGTTGATCGCTGACGAAATCTCAACACGGATACAGAGGGCAAGTTTCGCATATGTCAACTTACGCCATCTCTGGTGTAGACGTGATATCCGGCTGTCGACCAAAGGGCGGGTGTACTGTCAGCACTCCGCTCCGTTCTCCTTTATGGCTGTGAGACCTGGCCATTGAGAGTGTAAGGTATGAAAAGGCTAGCTGTCTTTGATCATAGATGCCTGCGTTCTATCTATGTGAAGTGGTATAATAGGAAGAGTAATATTGAGGTTAGGCGTCGAGTGGTAGGTAAGGAGGGGAAATCAATCGACGAGGCTGTGAAATTACATCTACTGAGATGGTTAGGACATGTTTTATGCAAGCATGCCTAGCCATCGCCTTCCTCGATGGGCAATGTTAACTGACAAAGGGTCAGGCTGGACAAGAGCTAGAGGCGGTCAAACCAAAACATGACACCAGTCAATGAAATCCACAACAATTAGTTTATGCCACGTAGGAAGGTGTAGACTTCTTCGTTGGGGCCCTCGGGACGGCAAAAACCAGTGGCTGGAGACAATTAGTGACATGGCTAAAAATCGTTCTCAGTGGTGCAGATGTATCCACTCCCTGTGACTCATGATTTCCAATTAAACTGTTTTGTTCTTCGTTATTACCATTCCTTTGTCTCACACCTCTGTTTACTTTCTATATTATGCATTTCTCCTAATTTATTCTCTTGATTTGTGTGCTACCTGGAGTGTGGCGACTTGAACTACTGCACATCGGTGCATATTTCTATGTCTAAAACCGACCGACCTAGGGTTTACAGCAGTCAAGGGGATGGATTCTCTGTCATGGAATCCACTAGAAGTCTGCAAACATTTCTAAACAACATGAAAAGCGCAACAAGAAATATTAAGGCTTAACCAAACTTGTCGTGTAGACATTGAAGTTTAAAATTGTTGGCTTTTAGTCGAAGCGCTTTTAAAGCTTCAAGGTCAAGTTTGACACCGTTTGACACCAGGTCTTAGTTTCATGGCAGGCGAAGAGGAAGCATTGGAGCGCCTAAATAATTACGTGAAGCTTAATGTTGGTGGCTCTTTGTTTTTCACAACTATCGGAACACTTCTGAGAGGCAATACAATGTTGGCTGCGATGTTTAGTGGTCGTTTGGAAGTCAAAACGGATGATGACGGTAATTATATCATGACTCTCATTATTTGCCAATAAATTTGCTCCTATTTGTCGTTATTTCCTGAGAATAATTGCATTATCATTGCTTCCACGGCTTCCTAGAGGAAAGTCTTCAGCAGGACATCTCCATATCATGTCATCTGCAGACCAATTTAGCGGGCTCTGCGATTGGCTGTACGCTTTCTCCCGATCATCACACGACCTCTCGTCGTTTCACATTGAGGCTCTACAAAATGGCTTGGCACGTGATGTCATCCAACTGTTACCTCAATTTGTGTCCATCTCCACTTTCTTCCGCACAAATTCTAAGCGAAAACTCCTTGGCTAGTTTATTGCTAGAGTTTCTTGTTATCAAACCTTACTGGTTATGTCGTCTCCAGTATACAGGAAGTTGTTGGGGATGCTCTTCGTGACTCGCTAAGTTTCTAATAAGTCCCACGGTGTGGGCAGCCCTCACAATCCGAAGTGCACACGAAACCTCTCTAATCCTCACTCATCTTTGTATCCATCTTCATCTCTATTATCTTGCTTTCCTTCTAACAATGCATCTCCTCTACTTGATGGCTCTTCACTCTGTGTGCACTGATAACGATGGAAGCCAAAAAGCCACCATCGATAATCTCCTAAAGCCACGCCACCGACCTAATGAATTGACCTGACATTATTCTTAAGAATCTGAATCTTCATTATTGATAAGATTTTATTTTAATAAATCACACAGTGTTGTACAGTAATATTAACTGATGACGTTTCGAGCATAAACTATTGCTCATAATCATATCAAGTGTTATTGATCAATTAAAATTTTAATTGATGCTCGTATGATTGCCACCAGTCAAATCAGGGGAGGATAATAAATAATCATAAAATTCTATTTCAATTCAAACAGATCAAAACATTCTAACAAGTAACTTATTATGATTATAGAAACACTCGTCCTTTTTCCCATCTAATTGTAATTGATCAATAACACTCGTATTATTATTTCTGAATGTACATTATCTCATATTGAATTTTATTCTAATATCTAATCGATTCCACACATGTATATAAATGAAGGAAGAAGTTTTGTGAGTAACTTGATATGATTATGAGCAATAGTGTATGCTCGAAACATCATCAGTTAATATTACTGTGTAACACTGTGTGATTTATCAAAATAAAATCTTATCCATAATAGAGTTATGCTCTACCACATTGCCCAAGTTTTATACTTATATCAATCTGAATCTTGTTCCTTATGGTGTGTGCAGCAGATTCCTACCCTGAGTTTCGAATAGAGAAAATCTGCCTCGCCTTAACATCTTGCTTTTAAGATCCTCATTAGTGTCGCATGTAACTAAGATGATGTTGTCCAGATAATTAGGTGAAAACGATTTCGGATTTCTTCTGTTTTTGGTGAATTGAACATCTTGTTGGTTATGTATCTGTATCACCTATGCCTTCTCCATGTTCATTAGAAGCCTTGTTTTCGCTGCTTCTGCCACCTAAGAGTTTTTTCCATGCAGATCTTCTAGTTTGTGAGACATTTGACATTAGGTCTGAATCTTCTATCGGCTTCTTGTTTTCCATTCTCCTTCCCCACTTTCTACTGCATGATCCAGTCCACCAGAGTCAGTAGTATCTTCGGTGATATTAGGCAGAATGTAGCTGCTGAATGGCGTTTAAATAATTTAATGCATTCCTTACTGTTGAATCAATTTCCAAATTCCTTCATGGTCCAAACAGTCGAAGGTCTTTCCAAAGTTAATGAAGTCGATACTAAGGGTTGATTTCAACCATATGCATTTTTTTCGAATCCAGAGCATTTTTTAAACTCTCCGGGATGACGCGAATTATTATTTTGGTTGGAATGGATAGAAGCATACTTCTGCGGCATTATTTGCAGAGTTAGGTTACCTAACAGCCGGTAAGTGCTTTTCTTTCCTTCCAAGTTTTCTGCAGTATTTACGTGAATATATTAGCTGAAATCTGTCGGTGCTTCCGGGGTATTTGCGCCTGGTCTTGCCGCCTTCCCAGCTGGCTTCCAATAACTGAATGGTATCTGAGACCTCTGCTTTCACCAACTGGATTGTTGTTAACTAGCAGTGTTGTGATTATTGGTAGAGTTTTTGGAGGAGTTTTAAGTGGTAGTCAGTTCGAGTTTATTAAAGCGATAAGGACATCGTTTCCTTTGCTTCTCCGCCTTGATAATTAGGTTCCTTTCATAGCCACCAGTTTCATCTGTATTGATCTCTTCCCAGAAAGCAATATGGTTATGCTGTATGGAGATCTTTTGTCCATCTTACTTACAGCCTGTTGGGCTTCTGTTGACAATGTCATGGAATTGTCTTTTGTCCTTCCCAAAACTCTTCAATTCTTTATTTAGTTAACTGTAGATTGAACTCAGTTTCCCCTTTCGTTGTCGATATTCACACTGGTTCATCCTTATTTTCACATCCATCTCTCCAACTTCCAGGTGTCCATAGGGAACCATTCCTAGTCTTGTCTTTTCTCCTTTAAGTCGGTTCTACAGGTTTCCTTCAATGTTCCTTTCAGAGAATTCCACTGATTTTCCACACATATTTCCTCGGTGATACTACGTACTTTTTCCAATTTTTCTGCGATGGCTGCAGTAGAGATGTCCTTTAAAGATTTTTCTTTTGGTGTGTGGATGTTAAAAGTGGATTGTAATCCAGCTCCATTAAAGGCTTTCAACTTCACATTGATGAGTTCTTCCACTAGATAATAGTCTGAGCCCTAATCTGCTCCTCTCCTCTGTTTTATGTCCAATAAGCTGTTTCTCCTTTCTTGTAATTGAGATGAAGTCTGTCTGTCTGAAACCTTCTTCGCCTTGTGGATTTCTGTTTGGTTGCACACGCTGTCTCCATTCACCAAATCATTGAACGTACAGAAGTCTACGAAGAGTTTGTCACTATCATTCATATCACCGAGAGTCTTCCAATATATTATGAGTTCTTTCCTTGTGTTTCTCTTCCCAGCTTTAGACTCATACCACATTAGGATTTTGATGTCAGCATTTGGTGTTCGTTCATTACTGTCTGCGGTTGTTGGTTGGATTCTTCTCTTGGTCTCCGTTGTTTGTAGGAGCGTAGCGTGGGAACGAGGTTGGTTGCCATTCCATTAGAGCTTGTGATATTGTTAGTAACATCATAGTAGCCACTGAGCGTTCTTGTGGTTGTCGTCTACGTGGATGTAGTAAATTGCTGACTCTCCAGTTGACCATTTGGAAAGCCCACTTCCATTCCACCTGCTGTCGCAGATTCCTGACACTTTTATACAGTATCTTCTCATTTCTTTTGCAACCTACGCAGTCTTCTCAGCTTCTGATGGTGCCATGTCATTGGTGTATCAGCTGTGCAACTAACATAAATCAAGGTTACCGAACTAATACGTGAAGTCGTCACGCGTCCTGAACCATCGTGTCAAGATAACGTCAACAACTGAAGGACAATTCACAATTTGCCAAGCACCTGTCATCAAACTTCGATTCACATACATGATAACTCCACTAAGTGCTCAAAATTCTAAGAGGACATAGACGATCATCAGTCAAAGTTTCACTGGTGCAAATCAAGGTTGCTTGACCAGGATTTGTTAATAATCTATGACTGCCAAATTAACGTAGCGGCGCCATCCGGTATTACGTCCTAACTTTTACTATACGGTTCTAAATCTCGCCTGTCACACCACCAGCACTCTTACAAGTATCTAAGTGCATATAATTCTGTATTACTAACGTTTCACCTGTGATGCTGGGCGCGGATACTGATTTAAATCCATATTGCACCAGTACTTTCATTTGGACTGTGCGAATCGCATCTTGTGATCACCGACTAGTTGAATGGTATTTGAAAGGTATGTATGCAATGGTTTTGCAGGAACTTATCTTCTGCATACTCAAAATACAGCAATCATCTGCACCAACACCATGTAGATCTTTCAGAGCTGTTTTCAAAGATTTATCGATCTATAAGTTAAAGACAACGACATAAAGCAACTGTGTCAAACATCACTACTGGTTGTAAACGTTGGCGACAGTTGGTTGAATTCCCTCACTCTGTAGGAAGTGTTTTTATATGGGACTATGAAGGTATCGATAAGACTCTCAGCAACGCCTTTCTCTGACAGATGATACCAAGTTACAATTCTGTCTAGTGGATCAAAGCCTCTCCTAGTTTTCGACCGTCCGTAATTTTGAATGTGCTTAACCAACTGGGAGAAGGTAAACACGTAATGGATGCATCCAGTCTCAATATAACAGCCTATTATCCGTTAATCGGTATTTTATGCGTCATATATATATATATATATATATACTCCTAAGCAAAATATTGGTTGAGTAAGGTAGTTGCAGAAGGTTCATAAAATGCTATAAACGACAGTGAATTAATATCCACTTATTTCCCAACAGAAGTATTCTTTTTATTTAGTGAGATTAAATTTGTTCATCACTTTCATTTCAGGCTGGGTACTAATAGATCGCAGTGGAAAACATTTCGGGACAATTTTGAACTATATTCGAGATGGTTCAGTTCCCCTCCCAGAAACCAGAAGAGAGTTGGAAGAACTAGCTATGGAAGCCAAATATTTTTGTGTTGAAGGTTTATGTTCAGCATGTGATGAGGCCCTTGGACGGCTAACTAGTTACGAAGATTTACAAAACCGTGCAACAATAGTTATTGTTAAATGTCCTAATGCTGCGAAGTCTTTACTTTCCTCTACTCGTAAAGTAAGTAGGAGTAATGTGAACACATTTCCTTATGTATACATTTACTAAAAACTTCGTGTTTTCATGAGCTGAATTTCCTTAATAGCTGATACAAACTAGAACACAGTTGGTAATGGATAACTTAATGAAACGGTTAGTTAAAATTAATGTCAACCAGAAGGTTTGTTACTTTGTGTGAATAATCAAGGATTTTTGTCACCTTTCAGATTAAACGCATACAATTTTGGTAGGATTGCCAACAATTAGTGCATTTGTAGAAACCTTTTTCTTCGGTTTGTTATGAGTAATCATATTTTGAGTATGCAGCTCACAGCAATACATCACAGTGTGGTTGGTTACTGAGTTACATCTCTTCCATGTGCTGGCATATCAGAAAACCAACTATGCAACCTTTTTTAACAAGTGTGCTACTATTTTGAAACATGGAACAACACTTAAAAGTGTAGAGTAGTAATGCAAAAGTGAATTACTGATATAGTATGAGGAATAGAAGTGATGGGGATGAGAGCGTTTTCCTAAAATGCTGTGTCTGTGGTACCACACGCTACCACACGTTTTACTTGTTAATCAAAGCCTGAAACATTCATAGGTGAATTTATCAATACTAATATACCGTTGAATGTTTGTAACCTCTATTTTGACTTCAGTTTGTTTTATTTATTACTGTATTCTAGCCTGTTGTCAAACTCACCATGAACCGATACAATAATGTATTCTCGTATACTAGGTAAGTTTCTCGCTATATATATATATATATATATATATATATATATATATCATGCTGCTTGTTGTTTTTGATATAGAATATACTCAGCAGTATTAGAAATTTTCAAAGCCGTTTAAAGCCCTCACTTTCTTTTGTGTTGATCGCCGAGTACACATCTAAAGTCTCAATAACAGCCTCGATTAATTAACCTGATGTGATCAGTCAATAAAATTATACCACTGTTTGAAATTTGGTATACATCTTTTACGTGAGTTTCGCTGGACTGTCGATATGAAATTCGAGTGTAATGTAATGTGATCTCATCCTTTGGATGATCTATAAACTCATTAATTTCTTCTGTTACCATCGAAAAAGTGCAGTACATCATTTCAACCATAGTTGATTGTGGAATTTATGCTTAACCATAGAACATCATACTCATTCAGGATTTCTTAACCGTACAATTTATAACTGTCGTAATAATAGAAAATGCATAGAACTCATATGTGTCACAGTAACTAATAGGATTTATGCTTAGTAATATAGGATTTTGTCGAATTTTTATGAAAAAATGAGCTTCAACATAGAACTTGGCACAGAAATTGCTATAGTTCAAGTTATCACACTATATGTCACAAAAAGACTAAAAAGAACTTCAATAAGTAGGACTAGGCGGGTAAAACTGTAATTCCATTATGGGTAAATTTTATTTTGATAGAGTCTCACAGTGTTATACAGTAATATTTACTGATGACGTTTCGAGCACAATTTATTGCTCATAATCATATCAAGTTAATCACACGACTTCCTAAATTCATTTATATAGTTCCATTGTTTTTCACTTGATTTGATTGGTAGTATTATTTTCCATATTTCAGGTATGAGTGATGATTCATTCCTATTGCATGTGTTGGGTGTAGATTCGATGAACAAAGATTCAGTAATCAACCTCTCTCTCCACCTACCTAGATTACTTTTTAGAATTTTAACCCTCTCCCACCCTATTGTGTGGTTGTGTGTTAATGCATGCATTGCAATTGCCGAGCTTTCTTCTAAATTACTTATCTTCTCTGGGTCAACCATTCTTACCTTAGCTAAATTCTTATGTTCTGACAATCTGACTACCCCTGACCTACTAGTTTGACCTATGTAGTTGACCTCACAGTCATTGCAGGGTATTTTGTAAATTATAAAGGACCCAGTGGACCCAATTAGACAAAATAATATAATTTACAAAATACCCTGCAATGACTGTGAGGTCAACTACATAGGTCAAACTAGTAGGTCAGGGGTAGTCAGATTGTCAGAACATAAGAATTTAGCTAAGGTAAGAATGGTTGACCCAGAGAAGATAAGTAATTTAGAAGAAAGCTCGGCAATTGCAATGCATGCATTAACACACAACCACACAATAGGGTGGGAGAGGGTTAAAATTCTAAAAAGTAATCTAGGTAGGTGGAGAGAGAGGTTGATTACTGAATCTTTGTTCATCGAATCTACACCCAACACATGCAATAGGAATGAATCATCACTCATACCTGAAATATGGAAAATAATACTACCAATCAAATCAAGTGAAAAACAATGGAACTATATAAATGAATTTAGGAAGTCGTGTGATTAACTTGATATGATTATGAGCAATAAATTGTGCTCGAAACGTCATCAGTAAATATTACTGTATAACACTGTGAGACTCTATCAAAATAAAATTTACCCATGATGGAATTACACTCTACCCCAGTGCCCAAGTTTTATTCTTATATCAAGGGTAAAACTGTAACATATGTAAACACGAGGACTCAAAGGATATTGAGTACAAAGAGTATTTTGAACCATATCACCAGTAGTCTTCAGCCATTGGTCTGTCTTTTTTCGACGTAGAACTTTGCACAGATGTGCAGTAGTTCAAGTCGCCACACTCCAGGTAGCACACAAATCAAGAGAATAAATTAGGAGAAATGCATAATATAGAAAGTAAACAGAGGTGTGAGACAAAGGAATGGTAATAACGAAGAACAAAACAGTTTAATTGGAAATCATGAGTCACAGGGAGTGGATACATCTGCACCACTGAGAACGATTTTTAGCCATGTCACTAATTGTCTCCAGCCACTGGTTTTTGCCGTCCCGAGGGCCCCAACGAAGAAGTCTACACCTTCCTACGTGGCATAAACTAATTGTTGTGGATTTCATTGACTGGTGTCATGTTTTGGTTTGACCGCCTCTAGCTCTTGTCCAGCCTGACCCTTTGTCAGTTAACATTGCCCATCGAGGAAGGCGATGGCTAGGCATGCTTGCATAAAACATGTCCTAACCATCTCAGTAGATGTAATTTCACAGCCTCGTCGATTGATTTCCCCTCCTTACCTACCACTCGACGCCTAACCTCAATATTACTCTTCCTATTATACCACTTCACATAGATAGAACGCAGGCATCTATGATCAAAGACAGCTAGCCTTTTCATACCTTACACTCTCAATGGCCAGGTCTCACAGCCATAAAGGAGAACGGAGCGGAGTGCTGACAGTACACCCGCCCTTTGGTCGACAGCCGGATATCACGTCTACACCAGAGATGGCGTAAGTTGACATATGCGAAACTTGCCCTCTGTATCCGTGTTGAGATTTCGTCAGCGATCAACCCGTTGGGGCTGATGCAACTTCCCAAACAAGTGAAGTGGTCAACGCGCTCTACCATTTTGCTCCCTGTTTCTAATCTAGGAGTCAGTGTAGACCAGTCCTGCAGCATCATCTTAGATTTGGCGGGAGCGAATCGCATGCCACACATTCGTAGATTGCAGCTCAAAGTGTTCAGTAGACTGCATCTTGTCAGCGTCTTCACCTAGGGGGGAGGACTAAATATATTCCCCGGTAACAAGTCAATCCCTGAGTTGCTGAAGTCAGTTAAGGTTAAGTCCATTAGTATGTCTGTGATGAAACTAAATAGAAATGGGGATAGTGGGCATCCCTGACGGACACCATTGGTTTCACCACTTCAGATGACAACTCGCCGTAAGCCCTCACCTGGCTGCATGAGTATGAGTAGAGTGCCTTGATCAGTGCAATGTATTTCCTCAGCATTCCCTTCACAGCTAAGCATCGCCATAGTACCTCTCGATCGACAGAATCGAATGCCGCCTTTAGGTCAACAAATTTGACGATTGTTGGACGCCGGTAAGTATGCCTATGTTCCACAATCTGTCGCAGGGTGAAGATATGGTCAATACACCCTCTTCCTGGTCTAAAGCCTGTCTGGACCGCTCAGTTTACGCTTTGTTTTTGAGCCTAGAACTTTAGATACCATATTAGTTAAACTAATCCCCCTGTGATTATCACAGAAAGACTTGTCTCCCTTCTTATATATGGGGATAACTAATAACTTACACCAATCCGACGGGACTTCCTCTGATTACCAGACGCTGCTTAGTACCTTAGTTAACGCAGACAGTAAACTGTCTCCAGCGTACTTAAATACCTCTGAAATCATTCCATCGGGACCTGCTGCTTTGCCTCATTTCAGACTAGTGACAGCCTTAGTAACCTCAGTTAGTGACGGAGGACCTGTGTCTATATCCCATTCAGGGAGGTGTTGGATGTTCAGCAGGATAAGTGTGGCTGTAGACCAATTAAACTGTTCCTCATAGTGTTCTTTCCAGCGTCCCAGTCGTCTATCCTGGGAGCTAATTATGGTGGCATTTTTCTCTGAGATTGTTTCGCTTATCATATACCTTTTGCCACCTGTTTCCCTGATGAGCCTGAATAGTTGTCTGGTGTTGCCAATCGCCGATGCCTTTTCCATCTCTTTCGCTCTTGTCGCCCACCACTGTTCACGGTCATTACGAAGACTTCTTATTATTTCACGTTCGAGTAATAGCTTTTGCAGTGTGTCTATAGCTAACTGAATGTTGTGCCGGGCTACCTCGGGGGAAGTCCTGCTGTCGACCTCAGAAACTCGTTTCGCTACTTCTTCCTTAAATAAGGACTCAGTGTTTCGATCTAGTTGGGGACGTAACTGTTTCGCTGCCATCAATTTCTTATGTCCATTTAGTCGTAAGCATAAACGTGCGTGAACCAGATCATGATTGGAGTCTAGAAGGAGCGGCAGTCTTCTACTGACCCTCGCCAACGATCCCCAGTGGCTAAGTGGTCTATCTGAATCCAGCCTTAATTTGGTGGTGGAGGTCGCCAAGTTAAACAATGTCTTTCTTTGTACCTGAAGTTAGTTCTGACTAGGAACAGATGATTATCTGAGCAAAACTGTAGAAGACGATCACCGTTTTCGGTTTGTCGGCAGGGAACTCCATGCGTACCACCTTCTTACTTCTCAGTCTGGCACAACTTCCCTACTGGGACATTGAAGTTGCCTGCTAAAACAACTATATCTGAACATTTTTCAGCAAATTAGACAGTTTCAGGTAGAAGTTATCCTTTAGTTCATCCGAACTGCAGTCTGTTGGGGCGTTAGCGGAGTCTACGAAAAGACAACGACGGGTGACACCGTCCTTCCTTCTTCTAACGGACCCATTCAGACGAGCCGCACACATACAACTGTCTACTGGGATCTAGTCAAGAAGTGATTTTTCCGCCCTAACACTCAGTGCTATCCCTACACCTACGATCCGTCGTAAGCTAACTGAGGGGTCTTCTGACACTCTTAAAGTGAATTTTGCATATTCACCTTGTAAGCGTGTCCCCAAAACGCAGCAGACACCCATGGCTCGAGATGCCAATGTTCTTGCTAGTGATGCCTGCTGTCCGATTTGGCGGAGGGGGTGCTGACGTTAAATGCCCCAGTATGAAGTTGGTGACGTGACTTTAAGAGGCTGTCAGGGGTGTTTCTATGGCTCTCATCGTTGTTTGTGGTCACAGCGTGAAGTGAAGATGCCTTACTAGCCTGAAAATAGTACTAACTGTAGTACGGAGTGAAATGATGAGGGTGATGTGGGTAAGGGAGAATGATGCTCAGGAAGGTTTCGTGGGCTCTTGGAAGTGTGTGGGCGGTTGTTACTTCCCGGCTACCCACACCGTGGAAGTTGGTTGATTCTTCGTATAGCTGAAACAGAAAGAGGGTTAGTGTTGCGTGAAAGCACAGCCCAGGGGACAACTGCTTGAGGCCGGTCACACACGGCCTGTATGAACTACTGGTTTCTGTATTAGTAAACTTACCGGCGGTTACGGACCACCGTAGGGTAAGTCGGGATGTACAATTGTTGGGGTCAACCTTTCCTACTCCCCTCTCTCCAGAGTGGAGAGACAGCATAGCTGGCATACTGCTGTTACATCCTTTTTCCCCAGCAGTACGACTTCGCCCACAGACCCTCAACATAGTGTAAAAAAATTCTTACACTATGCTGGCGACTGTTTTTAGTTTAATCGCTATCCTAACAAACTTCGTGGCAAGCTAAGACCTGCAGGAAAAATAGCTCCAGCCAGTACAGCTTGTTGGGTCATTACGATGTGCAAGCCCGACTACCACGTCAAGGTAGCAGCTATCGGTCAGGCCAGCCATTGGTACTTATCATCGCCAGGGTTTAGAGCAGGATCATATTGCAACATCTGGCGAGTTCAAGTGGACCAAGCTTTCGAAGGAGTCGAATCATCTTGGCCAGACAAACCCACTTTGAAGTGGTCTCCATAGTGCCCGAACCAAGTAGCGAAGGTAACATTTGGATCTGAATGATAGTTGAATTCAGTGCTATTGTTAGTAGCTGCATCAACTGAAGGAGCTAGTAAAGCTCATAAACCCAACTAGGCTACGTTATACTAGATGCTTTAAATACACAACGAAACAAGTCTGTTAAAATGTATTAGCAATCTTACAGTTAAATGCTCATAACTGTTGAATGGTGAGTAGAATTATATAAAAAGGTTCACGGCTATCTTGGCCTTTTGAGAAACCCAGCAATCTGTGCATTATTTTCTTTTCTCAACATGTTTTGCCTAGATTTTACTACTAACTGTTTATATCGGCCTTTTATTGGTAAACTGAAGTTGACAAAAACAATGCCTATCGTAGTTTATTAATGCATACACAAATCAAATCTCTGTTTTTATTGTTTTGTGTAGTAATTCACACGACAATCTTCTGCGAAATATTGAATGCCTAGAGAAATATGCCCTGATGTTTCCCGCCACTGTATTATTTGTGAAAGATGTTCGAGACAAAAGCGAACAAAATGAGATTTGTGAATGGAGCTACTACTGTCGCGGTCATCGTTTAAGAAGCATAGATTGTATAGCTATTCACTACTCCTCAGAAAAGCGTCTTATCAAAGTAAGTTCGACTACTAATTTATACTTCACACAATGTTAATTTTGAATAGAAAACGCGACACCAAGGATACGTTACCGATGTAGTATCTTACTTCCTAAACCAGATGCTTTCCATAAGATCACGGCAAAATGGACCAGAAACGTATAGTATGTCAATCTGGCACATCTTTCATGAGCATAGTAAAGGAAAACGTAACATAAATATTGTAACATTTAGTGTGACAAATCAGTATATGGGTATTGAGACCTAACTTTGTTAGTTCGCTTGGATTAAACTACTTTGAGCCCGCCTCAGTATTACGCGGGTGGGAAAACTGATCTCTATCAGGGACTAAACGTATAAGAGAAGTGAGTAGTTCATATGATTTCTTGAATTACTATTCGATTTACCAAATCAAATCTGTATACTGCTTTACAGTATTATCATTTTTCTTAAAGAGTGAAATTTATATACTGTTGACAACTTCAATCTGAGACGATCTCGGGCTGTCAGGTGGATATTGCTGTTGTCATGCAAGAGTTAAGTTTTACATAATTACATTGAGACCGCAAACTATTGTTTCGAATCAACAAGGAGACCTTAGCGAGGGCAGAACTTTAGAAAATGAAATGATCATAGTAAAATTCAGTAATATAGAAATATAAAGATTTTCATTTTCGAAAGCCAATCCAGAGAATACAATGCCAAAGGCGGTTCAGGGTCCCACAAAAAATGAGGCATGACAAGTGACATACGGTACTTTTTGTTTGCAGTCCGTGATACTGGATGTTATGTGAAGTTTGTTAAAACGTAACTCATTTGACGCGGATTTATCGCATAGTCTTGAAGTGTAAGACATTGGAATATCTTTTGTATTTTAAAACCTAGTAAATTATGACAGAAACATGGAGTAGTAGTTGAATTTACTAATGAGTTGTGAGTCACCGTAGTTTTTTAACTACTTTGCGTCCCGAATAGAATATAGGACTGCAGTTTTGAAGTTGAGGTTAGCAGTGGTTGTTTTTGCTGGATGAGGTTGCTAGCCTCGCACCCAACCTTCCCCTCTTTTCCGGGCCTAATACTAGCTTAGCGAGGTTCAAGAGTGCGTTGGTGGCTTGAGATCGAACTTCAGACCATATGCAAGCACTCTACAGTTGAACCAACGATGCCAAGTCACCCCCATAGAAATAAGTTACTAACTCAACAAATGTACTTACATTGGGAGATTTGCTTATACAGCACTTAAGGTTCCTTGTATTGTCAATTCTTCGTTTTTCAATAGTGTATGCAGAACTGCCGTATCTCAATAAACGTGTCGCTAATTAAAATTATTACTGACTCATTGATCTAAGGTGATTCTCAAATGATTCCTGGTGAGTGCCTTTTTATTAAGCAACATAACCTCCCTACATTTGATCCTAAATCTTGAATGTGCATATGGCTTAATATTCCTGTACCCTTTGATTTTCAGGTGGAATTCCCAGAATCACGCATTCATGAAGAAATGCTTTCGTTGCTGTCCGTTGCCAGTCGGAATCTAAGTGATGCAGAACTTCTGGAGATCGCGATGCGAAAAGCAAACTGCGGTTCGGGGACAGCTAGTGGTGCATTGCTTAGTTACTCCTCCGCTTCTGGTACAGCCAGCGGCTCTCAACATGAAACAGAAGAGCAAGATGTAGATCAGTCGTCCACTACAACCAACACGGCAGGAAGTGTCGTAAGCGCTGCAATCCTCCCCCCTGCAAGACCGGCCACTGCAAATGGTCTTCAGGACAGTCATGGAAATCCAGTTAATGCAGGGAGTTCACGCAGTTCTTTTGGAGCATCAGTCCGTCTTGGTAAACGCTAATCTTTGCATCCTACTCACACATTAGATATATGCTTTCCCTTACTGTAGATCAAAAAGAGCAACTGATTGTAGGTATTTGACTATATGATTTTCTTCGTATTGCTGTGTGCGGAAGGAAAATTGTTTTTATCCCTTTGTATTCATGTACACCATTTCCTAGGTAATTGAATGAGCCGAACTTCTTTCATATTCTCTGAAAAAAGTGCGAGCCATTCATACAGATTTTTAACAGTCAGTGCAAATATTCTGCGTGACTGTGTATGTCAATCGTGTGATACAAACTTTGGTTTTTTTAGTGGTCTGTTTTGGCATGTTTATTTCAGAAATATAATTTGGTTTTATTGTAAATTTCATTTTGATAACATAATAAGAAGCGTAACTCCGTACACAATAAGTGAATGATCAAAAATTAATTCACTAATTATAAAACATGAGACAACACATGTATGCAAGCTATGTTGTTTTCAATTAGATGTCATCGGGATGTACTCTCGTAAATCCTCACATAAAAACTACCTTAGCCGTCAGCTGCGAACAGCATAAGGGAGACGTTCGGTAAGCAGTCCGTTATCGAAATAATACGAAGGAACTGTAAGAGAACTTAAAAGACATGAATATGTAACTATAAGCTAGTCTCATAAAGGTGGAGATATAGTGTCATTAAGCAAAAGCGATTACTTGTAGGAAATGCAATCTATTTCGAATGATTAGACTTAATTCCAATCTCTTGGTGGTTCCAAAGGTTTCAGCGTAGCGACTGAGAAATGACTGACAGACTCCCTCAGAAAATTGAACCAGGAACGAATTACATCATTAGTCATGTATGAATCGACAAAACCAACATTTTTTTCAAATCGTGGAAAATACCCATTGGAACATTAGACTGAGAAGAACAAGAAGTTCAGCAAAGATATCTTTTCGGCTATTTTATTCTCAAGAGCTGTACAATCGCATTTATATAGATAAGTTTACATGGATACAATTCTTATTCGTTTAATTCCACATAGTAACGAAGGTGATAATAATTTTCAACTTGATATGAAAGTTTGAAGTTACGAATATAAATTACAAGGGGCTTAGAGACAAGATTGCATAGGACTAGATAACAGTTACAACGTATGCAAAATTAATATTTGATAACTGGAGAAATAGTTCTAAAGGCGAATAAAAGGTGATAATTGTTTTCAACTTGATATGAATTACAAGAGGCTTAGAACGAATTACAGGTGTGAACAAAATGAGAATGGAAACAAATTGAGATCAAAATTTCCAGCTTGAAATGTAACTTAGGAGGTGTGAATATAGATTACAGGAGGCATAGAAACAAAAAATTACACAGGATTAGAATATAATTGTAAAATGGTTATTCTAAACGGATTACAAGTGTGATCAGGAGAAGCATGGGAAGAAACTTAAAATAACTGATTTTATAACTGTAAAAATAGGATGAATTGAATGTGAAGGTAAAGAGAGAAAATTACACATACAGATAACAAAACAAAAAGACTGCAGGACAAGAGAACATACCGAACTAGGTCCATGGCAGTTGTAAAGGCTGAACTAGTTTCTTTTGAACACATAGCTCCGGCTTTTCGATGCATATGGAAGCACACTGTCTTTGTAGATGACTTTAAATGATGAGTCGGTTGAGATTCTGTGGCAGGTATTGACAAGATGTTCAGTTATTGCGCTTCTGATCAAACCAGTGCCTCCTCTTTGCAACCATGCTGGTATAGCGAGAGCTTCCGCAGTACAAAGAAGTCGTTTTCTTCGTTACAGACTTCTAAAGACAGCTGAGGCCTTGGTAATTCTTGACTTTAAGCCAGACCTTTGTGTACAAAAGAAGTACATACAATCCCTACTTCTGCCTTGGCTGTAGAAGGATAGACATTTATTTATTTAGTTATCCTATGTACTTTTCCCTTATTACTACGATTATTATTATTACTATTCTCACTCCGAATTGTTTCCACTTGTCATTCTAAACCCAAAATTTTTATTTTTACAGTATTGAACTCTATCTTATCTAATTTCACACCATGTTATGTAACATCTTATATTCGCCTACTAATCCTATAATTATGTACCCCTTTCCAAAATCTATACACCTTACGTATTATTATAAATATGACATTGATTGTTTTGCTACTTGAAATTTAACTATGATTATAACCACAAATATTTTAATTGCATTTCATACTATTATTATTTCATGTATACACACCTTTGACCTAATTACCTCACCGGATATAATTTCTTAAAAAACATATATATACGGGTGTATAGCTTGATAATAAATTCGTTGAAAAGAGTCTCTTCGCTGAATATTGTGTTCTGAAGATAGAGAATTGTTGAAGTCTCTAACTTTATCTATTAAATATCTGATACTAATGTTGTTAATAAATTTGTATTGACTATGGATATATCGACACAGTTACAAATGTTGAGACGGTGGACAAATGCCAGGAAATCTTTGGAAGGCAAATGAACTTAGGAATTCATCTGTTCATCTTCAAAGAACTAATCGTTAAGTGCACGGAGAATGTTACCGACAAGATGGAGTCGTTATGTTTCCTCGTGATTGTAGCTAACTCCTTCCTTGCAAAAAACTGAAAGATGTCGTCAACTAGTAAGATATGTATAACCTTAATTTCGACGATGCATTAATCTTAATCAATGAGAATGTATATGGACTTTTAATGAAATTTAATAACATATCCCCTTATTTTTATCAGTGAAGAAGAGCGGGATAGCACACTGCATCTCCTGGATGGCTTGCTAAGTAGGCGGAAGATTGGTCCACTGGGGAGGAGCGTGTTTAGGCAAAGCACATGCACAGAGCACTTCTTTTTTATTAGATATCTATTCAAAAGAAATTCTGAAGAGTGTCTCACAAAATGAATTCGAATATCTTCATTATTGCTTGACAGAGATAAATTAACCCGAGTAGTTTCATCAAGAAATTAAATATAAACCTGTAACCTTTGCAGCGCGGACGAAACCACTATTTGTCACGTCACATTACGGTTTAATGAGTATTTGTCGAGTGAAATTTTATTTTTGAGACTAGCCAGTGTTGTAAACACTTATTTCCCGATACGGATTCATTAGCATTATTATTACGACCCTGCACAAACTTATTGTTCTGTTAGCACATCACCATGATTGGTTTATATGCATTTATAAAAATACGTATATTACAGTAAAGCCGGATCAGATCTAAATGAAAACAATATTCAGAATGAACAATGGTTTTCAATAATCTCTTCTTCAGGCTCTCCACTTTTAAATCCATTAATTTAAGCATGCAATAGCCGGTAAAGGCAAATAAGAATCATATTGTTTAATCTCATCTTGTACTTGTTCCACGATACATATCTGACATGATTCTAATTTGCCTTTACCCGCTATTGTATGCCTAAGTTAATGGATTTATAGTTGTAGAGCCTGAATTTATTGAAAGCGATTGTTCGCTTAAATGTATTGTTCTAAATATTACCGTAGAAGTTATGGAGTTTAAATAATGAGTGAGAACAAAAAGGTTATGAAACTCAGTATTTTAATAATAGAAAAATCAGTGCGTTTATATAGTCCGTTCTGTGTTGGTTTGCGTTTTGGTTTCTGGTTGTGTATAGTGCCTGTATTCAGGTTTCAACTCCCACATATTCTTATGTGGAATGTGGTTGTTAAATACAGCGATTTCTCTCAAAATCTCTGTGAGGTATGCCTGCAATGAAAGAGAATCAAGGAAGAAATATATACTTTAGTTGAGTTTATTCTGATCAGAAAAATCATACATATCAAAGAATCGCCAATTCCTATTTACTACTCACATCCTACAGCAATAGTCAACCACGTTTTTACCGTTGTTCATATAAAAAGGTAAACATATCTGGCTTCTTTAGGATAATGTATGGACAACTTTTTAAGTGCATGATTGTTACCATTAGTATCATATACTTCCCGCACCCTCTCCACTGTCAGACAGTGTCACATATCCTCTCGGCCCACAAAGTCAAGTGATGCCTTTAGGTCTAAAAATATGGGAAGTGCTAGATATCGGTAAGCATGCCAGTTTTACTAAATCTGTTGAAGTTTGCAGATGTGGCCAAACCCCTCTTCCTCGTCTAACGTCTGCCTTGTTTCTCCCCAGCATTACTTAGTGCATGAAAGATGATTGAACCTAGAACTGTATATACCAAGCTAATACCTCTATTGTTATCACAGGAAGACTTGTTTCTCTTCTTGTATGTCCGGATAATCAGTGGCTTACACAAATCCAACGGAACTATGTCTGATTCTCCGACATTTCCCAGTAACTTAGGTAACCCAGAAAACAGCATGTGACCAGTGTCCTTCAAAGCCTTTAGAGCAACTCCATTGGGTCCCAGTGTTTTGTCTCGTCTAAGACTACAGGCAGCCGGACCGATGTCCACATTCCAGTCAGGTAGATGTTGGATACTGGCTAATTGGGCGTGGCTGTGGGCCAGTTTTCTATCTTAAGACCTAACTAAGGAGCCGCATTACTCAGAGATTGTTTCGCTTATAACTCGCCTGTTTTACAACCCGTTTAGTTGTTAGGCCTGAATAGTTGCCTATAGCCGACGCCTTTTCTATCACTGTGGCTTTTATCGACATCCACCTTTCCGTTTTTGCAGCTTGTGTCTCAGCAGCTTTCACTCCTTCTCGGATTCGAGGCCCAGTAGGACAAGTTTTCCTGCATCTATCAATATGGATGAAGTGTGATGAAGTTATAAGAAAATTAAGTTTCTCCTAAGAATATTGTTAAATTACCAACGCGAACACATTGACACTGGTGATGGAGTCGATTGCAATAACTCCCGGTTAAGAGAAGGATGAAATCGTTAAATAAAATATATTGACAGCTTCACTTATTCAAGTTGTTGAGTTTAAATGGATATGTTGATGATGACCTTTCAGCAAGGATGCAGGAAACTTATTCAGTGTTTCCAAAAGCGTCATTTTTGCTGTGAATGTGACACGTGTAAGGATAGTAAGTCAACCGAGAGGGTTATGATACTCCTTCGATTATAGGGGTCTGACTTCAAACAAACAACACTAAGTTTGTACCACACCAGTGTTCCTTTATTTTGTGTGCTTCCAAAACATACTTCTGTGAGGAGCTTTCGTATTAATTCATCAATCGGGTAGTAGCAGTTGAAGGTTTACCTTTCAGCATGTTTCTTAAAAATATTTTCTAGTATTAGTCTGCATGAGATTTTTATTCATGTACAGACATGACTACAACATTCACTACCACTTGGCAACGTTTTGTGAGTCCTAATTTTTAGCAGTGTAATATGAATGTTAGAATCGCTATTACTTAGGACTAGTATATTTGAATAAGTTCAGTTGCACATTATGTGCTCATAAAAAAGAAAAAGCTTTTAAATTAGTGGCCCATAACTAAAGAAATATGAGTGTATATGAAATATATGGAAGAAACACTTACCAAAGGTTGCTTAGTAAGCACAACCAAATCTTTAATTGAATAGTATTGATGTCTTTCAAAAGCTTTGAACAAGTCTTGTAGAACATCTTCCTTATCCCGACGAAGATTCTTACCCTCTGTCTTTTTCTTCAGCTCATATTCGATCTGAAAAGTCATACACCACTTTTTATTTATTAATTTATTGAAAACCATATTTTATGAATACAATTCTTATAATAGTCGTATAAATATTACCACTGATAACACAAAATGTAGCTTGGTCACTGATCTTTGTCCACGCTTATTGGCTAGTTGGATGTTCCAATAGTGTAGTGATAAAGATACAATTAGGTTAGTGGAGTGGAATTGTATTTATGTGGTAGAGATTCTCAATAGGTAGGAGTGAACGTAAGTTTTTAAACAGATTTGCGAATTATATCCATCAATTTTTTATTCGTTTCGAGAAGTATGGCAACATAAATATGGGAAATAATGTACAAGTAGCCTACAATTAAGATTTGTTTAAAAATATGCACAAGAAACAATGTTCACAATTAAACAGAGCAAATGATTCTTCTGTGAATGCAGGTGGAAAATGACATTTACAGTCTTTAAGTTCAACGACATGCAAATGTGATCTGTTTAAGAACGAACTGCAAAGAGCGGGAACAAATAGACCTTGCCTCCAGTACATGTCAAAGGCTGTAAATGTCAGTAACAACGATAATAATTACAGCAACAATGTCAACGACAACAAAAACGGTTGACACAGGTGGCGGTATGAACAATGAAGACAATATGCTACTGTTAACACTTCAATAATTAAATTAGGTCAAAATTATATAAAATCAGAAATTGTGTAATACCAAAGAAGTAAAGGATAGATGATCGGGATCGAATTAAATATCATAAACAAACGCAAATAAAGAATAAGAATAAATGAGAAGTTTCAATTAGTTCATTAGATTTAACTAAATCAAGGGTAGAATAAACTTCTTTTGTATACAAAGACTAAAACTGTTCTCCTGAACTCAGTTATGTAAAAGACGAGTTCAAATTCCGTCTAAAGGAATGCAGTAAATAACGCTGAATGAGCTTCTTCTGTCCACTTAGTCACCAGTCACTCAATTGAGACAGAGTAGAGTTTTTCAGTGTATTTTTGTCCTTTATTTTACCTTATGATTGATGTCATTAAAATCGTTATTACTGACATAATTACATTTAACACATTATTTTTGATCTACAAATTCACCGTCATTGTTTAGAGCTTTTTATACATAGAGGTAGGTACATTAGAGTAACTCCTAAGGAGGATCTAATTGAAAAGAATGTTGTCCGATTATACGTCTTGCTTTAATTGCATCAATAGGAATATTTAGTGATTCGAAAACGCACATAGGAACTCAGTTACAAAAAAAACATACTTACGTTATTGACGTGATTTGAAACTGGTTTGTAGTTTCGTACTGGTTCGTATAGTAAGTGGATTTCATGTCGTGGTCGATTTTTGGCTTTTAGCTTGATGAAAATAGTGATTTAAAATAAAAAATTTATGGTAAATGAAAAATAAGTAATGAAGGTAAAAATAGTATTTTATGAATTAAAACTAAACAAAACATTGCTAACCTGCTGGGCTTTGAGCATCATGTATCTTGTATTAGGTGGTGGTCGACACTCAGCTCGACTATTTACACGTCCAAACAAAGATAATCTTCGAGAGTAACGAGCATTCGGTTTATTTGAGAAAGGAGAAGACACAAGCTTACTGAAGATAGGGTCTATATATGTGCTTCCAGCAGAAGATGAGCTAGTTTGTGAGCACGTAAGATCATCTTCGCATAAAATTATAAGTTCCTGCCCAGATATAGCTCCCGGACGCTTTTGATTAACACTACTTGAAGTGCTTTGACCAGGACGAGTGGCGCCAGATGAAGCACTAGATGACGAGGTTTGAATAAGAAATTGGTGTTCCTGAAGGGAAAAAATTAATGTACGTTTATTAATTAGTGGAACTGCGGATGAACACCTCGATAGAATTTAATGTGCCAAGTCCCGAGATACGACCGATGTCTAAAGATTGTATCTGCTGAAAGTACATCTTACCAGAGACTGACTACGGTCACTTGAAGCACAGGAGTAGGAATGATATCTATTTCGAATGGCAGGTATAATACAATAATTCTGTTATACGAGCATCGGTAAGCAATGTTAAGAACTGGTTAGACCACTCAGAATGGTAGTTCAGAGCATTAGTTAATAGGAAAAAAGATGGGTGCATATATTTGAGTGATTTCTTGAGACAAACCAACAAGGGTGTAGACTGTAACTCAGAATAATTTCTCACAAATAACACTAAGATGTTGGTCATGAATATGCGGAACGCTTCCAGAAATCTCATTTAAACACTGATAATTTTTCCATAAAAGCGGTAACTCAAGAGTAGAGAAGACTGGTGGGCAAATTTTAAAATTCTATCTATTAATCCTTCAGGCTACAAAATATTACCTGGTGTTCATGGACTATAACTGAATATATACACAGACAACTACTTCACGTGAAATACTCACATACAAGAAAAAGAAAATTGTTCAAAAATGCCCATTAAAATTTTCGAAAGAACGGCTACTGAACAAAGAATACTCCTTTCGATAGCTTCATTATCAGGTTCTACGGTTATATATACATAATAGTGGATGAATTAGTGCTATTAACAAGAATAATGTCTAAATAACATCGAATCAGTAATATCATTAGATTACAGTTCAGTAGCATCAACATAATAAACTGAATGTCAGAAAAATTAGGAAAGATAACAATACAAATTCATGAATTTATAGTCCCTACTGAAGGCCAGGGCAGCAGTAGTGGCTGGCCCTGCTTCTTTTGCACACAAAGCACTGGCTGTGCAAAACAAGTTCAACAACTACAACTACCTTCAGTAGAGACTATAAATTCATGAATTTGTATTGTTATCTTTCCTAATTTTTCTGACATTCAGTTTATTATGTTGATGCTACTGAACTGTAATCTAATGATATTACTGATTCGATGTTATTTAAATATTATTCTTGTTAATAGCACTAATTCATCCACTATTATGTATATATAACTGTAGAAACTGATGATAAATTTATCGAAGAGTATTCTTTGTTCAGTAACCGTTCTTTTGGAAAAGAAAATTCTTCTTTCCGTCCTCCTACTTTGCGTATGATTCCAAGACCAACTGTAATTATTATTTTGCTATAACTAATATGTTTTGCACTTTTCACGTAACATTTATCAACATCATTTCCTTAACTAACCTTCTGCTCATTCTCTTCACTTACCACTTATTTTCGTTTTTGTCTTTATGCTCTTTTGTTTAATTCAGTTTTTCTGAGTTTTTCATATTACTCAACCTTGGTCTAAAGTTACCAATCTTCATCTCCCCCACCCAAGTTGCTGCATTATTATAATCTACGAGGCACTGCATAGGGACTTGCTGGAACGACTGATATGCCTATATTGCAAATTTCTCGTGGGGCAGTAACAATAAAACTGCCTCTAACTAGCCAGTCCTTTGCCAAAACAGAGGGTTTATGCACGTGAGGAAGAGTCCAAAGGACGGTAACACATAGGTTTTCTACTATGACTGAGTTAACAGTATCATACTTCACGCATTTAATCATGACATTTTGCAATTATAAGGCATGATTACGAGCCTTTATCTTAACAGTAGGTAAGCACATCTCTTAGTACATACCATAAAGCATACAAATATATATTTCAGGAGTACTGGTTCGTACAAAAAATTATTAACTCTTGTGGCAGATTGCCAGAAGTATCTCCAGCGAAAATTTACTTGCTAAAAAATGGCAGACACAACCAGAGAGTACCAACGCAGAAGGATGAGCATGGTCTGGAAGTCTTTTATCTTCAGTCAAAAATTTGAATCAATATCATTTATTGTGCGAACTTGCCTTCGGTATCAGATTTCCCGATTCACCGACTTGTTTCAACAGTTCTGAATCCGTAACAAGAGTAACCTGAGATCCAGGACCTTTGTTAACATTCTGAGATGCAGTACTTGAACTTGCAATAACAACTTTCCCAACTACACCATCAGGGCCGGCATTATGCCAAAGTTCAGCTAGATATTTTGGAACTTTGACTAACCAAACTCCATCTTTAGCTCTACTGGTATCAACAACGTGCAAGGCGTGTGCATCAGCAAAACTATCGGAAGCAGACTTTAATCTTAAATCAGACATAATTGTAATCGACAATACAGACGATTAAGATAGAGCACACTATTGCAAACTATATATGGGAAGCAGTACACTGATAATGATCATAACATTTTACCAATAATAGTATTCACGGTATAAGAGTGACACCAGAAGCTACACGGAGAAATGGGACAGACTGATGATGATCACCAGCCACTCGTTCTTGAACTAGCGCCTTCTCATCCACGCCCAGACGACCTTCAACAAGGTCATAGAGCGCTCTCCAATGTTCAATTTCACTTCGGGAGCTGAACACGCATGTCCACTAATAAGTATTCAAAAATTTTTAGTCCTAAATTAATTTTGAAGCAGTCACTCTCTCTACATGCTTACTACAGCTTTCTCAGACTCTTTAGTCAGCAGTATGTTCATTGAGCTTGATGAACAGTTTTACGATCATTTCAGTTTAGTAAGATGTTTGAATTTACACCTGACAGATTACCGGGTAAAGTGGATTTTAGTTCTTTAATTTTTCTTTCCAATTTTTGGGAGACTTACGATTCAATGTTGTTTCGGATGAGCCAACAGAAAATGCAGCAACTAATTCTTCTGTTAGAGAATTCCGCTGGTCTAATATTCCATGCAGAAATCAAACTTCCACATGCAAAAGATGTGGATGGGTTTTCTGGACTTAGACGTAACACTACTGAAAGTAAGCGGTTACAGAGAGATGAGCTGGGATGAAACAAGATGTTATGTAAAATAAAGATCCTAGTATGAGTACAAGGAAACCGAAAATTTGAAAAATATAAGATATAAAAGATTTCAGATTTATTGGTTGAGGATAGAAGGCTTCGAGCCTATGTTAATCCTTTTCTAGTAAATTTCTGTGGTTGTCCAAACCCTTCTTGGACGAATCAGTTGAGGTTGCAGACACCACTTTTTCTGGGAGTCGGTTCCAAGAGTTTATGACTCGATGTGAGAACCTGTACTCAACAGCAATATGATTTCTTCTTGGCTTTTGAACTCTCCTGCTATGTCCTCTAAGGTGTTCCGACATGGTGGGAAGGAAAAGAGAGAATAGGTCAGGTCCGTACTCATTATTTAAAATTTTAAACATTGTGATTAAATCTCCTCTCTGCCTACGGTATGACAAGGAGAAGAGATTTAAACTTTCTAGTCTTTCCTCGAATGATAAATTAGTCATTCCGAGAACCATACGTGTTACCTTCCTTTGAACCCTTTCTAGAATAAGTGAGTCCCCTTTTAGACAAGTGGTCAGCAATATAGCAGTTTTGGTCGCAGTCTACTGATGGTGTAATAGTTGACGGTAAGCAGAGGCCGAATGGTATGAAGAAAATATTTCAACTTGCAGAACTCAGTATGCTTAACTTTTTTGACCGTTTTCTACATGGTGTATCTCAGTGACTTCAGTGTAAGCCGTATACTTATATGATGAAAAGTTATTACCAGATGAATTTCAAAATTATACTTCTTCGATAAATATAGGAAAATGTATGGCTGCTGACTGGTAATAATCACTTATACTTGAAACGGTAGAATGTATTGCCCTGTATGCACTATTTCGAGGTAGGATAGCTGAGCTGCATTCTCTAGGGATAATTGAGGTAATTCCACTTATTGGAGGAAACTTAATAAGGAGCAGTAAGATTTTTTGTACTATAGAATTTAATCAGGTGAACATATTCTTATTGTATTGCACTTTCGGACGTCGATGACCTGCTAGTTAGTCTTAACTACTTAGTGATGCCACATGGCAGACTAATCTTAAATCTATACTGATGTGATTTCCTTCGTTAAGTCCTGGGTCCTCTTTATCTTATTCTCACACTAGCAGTTTTGACCTGTGAACCGGTTAGGTAAGGATTTTTAATGTTTTTCTGGGCTTCGTTTTAACATATCAGGCGTTTAAAAATATCTAGTTTCGGAAGGTAGTTCGTCCCAAAAGTGAAACATTTAATAGTGAAAATTTTCTCCTCAGTGGTACGTTTTTGGATAAAGATAGTGAAGAGGTGGTCGCACTTGCGTAACTAATATGGTTTAAGACTATAACACCTTATGGATGAGCTCCTTTAACAATGTTTTCCGGTAAATTTGGAGAGAAGAAATAAGTCACACATCACTCCCCCACCTACATTGGTTCTATTTTCGGTCGAATACAACTGTTAGGATGTTCTACTTGTTGGCTGAACCCTATTACGCCTTTCGTGAAGAATCTCTGAACACTTTTTTCTGGTCTTCCGAACTTGGGTTACCATACACGAGCACACAGTATTCAGGCTTAGGTCATATGCATGTATTACACATAACTAATCATGCTTCCCCGGTGTACAAGTTCCTCAGGACGCAGTGAGCAAATCATGTGCTACCTCGTTTGCCTGATAAGAAGACTTTACATAAAAATTTGTCCTTAGGTTCACCATTGTGTTCAGGTTCGAAAGGAGGTTACCAGGTTGATGATTGGATTCACTCGGTACACTGGTTGAAATTTCGATTGCTAAACCTTTTTTGCAAATAATTTTACTAGAATAGTACTACATGTTTTCTGGTTTGATGCAACTCTAATTTTCCAACGTGGTATAGGGGTGCTAACGTCATGTGATCTGACTGTGGTACACTCTTAGCACATCCGTTACAAGGGTTTGTACGGCTGAACCTATCCCGGACACTCAAGATCATTGGATGGATAAGGTACCTGAAAGTCAATTTTGTCCAAGTTAGTAGGCTATGTTACTGTTCACAGTGACTTTTAATTTTATCGCTCAGTTACTGACAGATTATTCACAAATGCTGCGTTTTACATCCTTTTAGTTCTTCTTGCAGTTAAATTGTTAGTTCAGTTAGTTTCGAAAGTTTCTACCAACAGGTCAGTTCATTCGTCTCATTGTAACTGTTTCACACGTAACATGATGAGTGCTTGGAGTGTTTAGGTGTTTTTCAGTCGTTAATGAAATAACACTATGCACAATTCTGAGAATTATATATAGGAATATTCTTCAGTGATAAAAGCTGTTTTTTCCAGATTACTTTTTGGTTGCCTCTATTATTGATGGTCCAAATGGTTAGTTAAACTGTGAAAACCTGGAAAGAACGATGTCTTTCAAGTTGACATTTGTAACATACAACGATCTGGTGAAGAAAGCACGGTCAGTGTGAGTAAGAAGAACATATTGCACCCAGAAAAATTAGAACCTGAGCTAAAGCTGAAACTTCTTTGAAGTCTTTCGAGGTGACTGCATCACAACTGTTCCAGATATAAGATTACGAACACCTGATATGTTGTGACAGAACCCAAATTAAACAAGGATGAACAACAGTTGAAGTACGAATATGTTGTGCTTGCATGTATTTTGGGAGTGAAAGAAACAGAAAGGAATCAGAAACCTCTAAAGGACAAATGTTGTCTATGGATATTAATGCTTAATGCACTAGATCCAAATACATAAATTAGAGTTATCCGTGGTAAAGCCAGTATTAACAGCCATTCATTATGTTGCATAACGATTTAGAAAGGGAATTATATACGATGATCCACGGAGTATAAGGAATATTCTACTTGAAGATAGGACTTTTGCAAGAATAACCTGTCCGATTTTAATCTACAGTCGGTGGTTTTTTCGAAGTCACAATGATTTGAGAAGGTAATTATAGTTCTGGATGAAAGCACTGGCTGAATACAAATGTATCGTTTCAAATAATCAAATTCTTATTCTTCAGATGTTTGTAATCTCTTGTTACTTATAATCACGAGGTCTACTTAATTTTTAGCAAGACTCTAAATAAAGTTTCCTTAAACTAGTGGTCTTTTCTAATCTTGATTGGCAAAACATTTGTTAACATGATTAGACTAGTAGATAGCTAAATAGTAGGCCCTGCGGCTAAGAACCGTAGTCGCAATTTTTCGGATTAACATAATGCATCTAACTGTCACAATTCCATGGATATAGTTTTTTCCTCATATTGTACTACAACATTTAGAAATCAGAAGCATACTGTCTTCGATAGATTTATCTTCCCTTTGCAAGTGACTGCGAATAGTGGGTCAGTTGACATTTTATGGTGATAGGTTAAACACCTCGAAATGCTATCATGGCGATGTTCTGAGGATGTCCACGCTCACTTTATAATTCAAAGATAACGTTAAATTGCTCCCTAAAGCAGCAGCTATGGGAGATTTCCTTCAGCGGAAACTATTTTAAGGTAGCTCTAAGTAATGTTTCATAGAACTCAGCATTGCACATTAGTTATGTCTAAATACATTAAACGTTGTATAACTGGTCAAATCTTAGTTCTTACACACTTTACTAGGTAGTCTTACTAATAATTAACGCACAGTAATAGTTTTCATTTTGTTTTGCAAATCTAGCTCAAGAACATTATGCCTACATGTGGTGCAGATTTAAGTCTAATACGCTGTGTGATAAGTCCTACAAAACACGCTACTCTCATGATTAAAGCTGGAAGAACACGTCAAGCACGATAAAGTTGCGTCATTATAGTATGTTATCTATTATTGGATTCAGAAAACGTAAGTAATATAAGGTAGATATGTAAATACCGCAGCTAATGAACCTAAAGATGATGGGTATTACCTAATACCACATGATTTAGCGGTATACCAGAAATAAATAAAAGTGGTTTTTGAGTTCGTTTTCAAGTAAACAGTATATTTGATGATGCCGCTTCATATTAACAGATGAGTGAAGTTACTACATTTACTAGTACTACAGACCTAGCGTTTAGCATTTCATAGACGTGCACCTGGCTAAATAAGGCAACTCTAGGGTATCGAACAGCATATTTTTATTCGACTTGTTCAATCCCTAACAATTTGCTGCTGCATAGAAACAGGCAAAAATCCCATCAGTGAAAAAAGCAACAGTCTAGTAATACTGCGGCAAGTCCCCATCACATTAATTAAACTTAATGTGCATTAATCCAAATTCACATATTATAACAGCCGATAGTCAAGCGAAGCATTGAAGAAGTCCAGAAGAATTGGTGGTGAAGAGTATATAAAACATTTTATTAATTCAAAGAAAATTCTGTTGAAGAGTAATAGCGTTAGTTTGACTGACTGATATTTTCGCTGATTTAATATTAGACAATCTCCATATACTAAAAGCACATGTAAGGACTAGCACAGCATGAAGTTATGAAAGATATTTATACATATTGGTATACAAGGTGGATACATTGATTCTAATAATACTGAGTAAAATTCTCACACAAATAAAAATAT